CATCCATCCATCCATCCATCCATCCATCCATCCATCCATCATCCATCCATCCATCCATCCATCCATCCATCCATCCATCATCCATCCATCCATCCATCCATCCATCATCCATCCATCCATCATCCATCCCCATCCTATCCATGCCTGTGTGTGTACCTCCAATATATGAATTTCTATCTGCCAGGCAGGTTTGTATCATCCTTAATCAAGAGGATACAAAAAGGCAAGAAACCCTTTTTTCCCTTTTTATTTTAATTTTTCCCAAGAGGACGTGCTGGAGGCTGACACTCCAGCTATGGAAGGAATCAGAGCAATTTGCTTTTCCTTCCACCTTTCCTATTGTGTCTGGCACAGGCTCCGAGATCGTGGGCTAATTAAAACCCAGTAAAGATTATGAGGCTGTAAAAAGGAAATTGTGAATTTTACAGCCCCCATGGAAACATTTCGGGTTTGTGGTCTGGAGAAGTATTTCCTTGTCTCTTTAAGCACCAGAGGAGCACTTCCCTGGAATGATTCCTGGCAGAGCTGCCGGCAATTCATGGGGCTTTACCAAACATAACAGGATTTCATTGGGAACTGTTGTGTCCTGCAGGGCCATGTCAGGACAGCAAAATGATTTGTGGGGAAGAGCTGGTGCAAGGGAACACAACCATGGAATGGGTTGGGTGGGAAGGGACCTGAAATCCCACCCAGTGCCACCCATCCATGGCAGGGACACCTCCCACTGTCCCAGGGGCTCCAGCCCCGGTGTCCAGCCTTTCCTTGGACATCCCAGGGATCCAGGGGCAGCCCCAGCTGCTCTGGCAATCCCAGCCCAGCCAGGAATTCCTCATTCCCAAGATCCCATCCCTGGCTGCCCTCTGGCAGTGGGAGCCATTCCCTGGGTCCTGTCCCTCCAGGCTTTTCCCAAATTTCAGCTCTCCTGGAGCCCCTTCAGCCCCTGGAATGTGCTGGAAGCTCTCCCTGCATCCTTCTCCTCTCCAGGGGAACATTCCCAGCTCTCCCAGCCTGGCTCCAGCCCTGGAGCAGCTCCATGGATTCCTTGGGACCTTCTCCAGCAGCTCCAGGTGCTGCTGCTGTTGGATCCAGCACTGGATGCAGAACTGGAGATGTTCTCTGCTCTTGTAACAGATCCCAGAGTGAGAACTGGGTCCCTCCTGCAGGGCAGATTTGGGGTTGGTCGTGCTCTGCTCAGCTCAGGCAGGAGATAAAGGAGGTTCCCAGGATCTCTGCACAGTTTCCAGCACCCTCTTGTGGGTTTTTCCCCTTTGGGAAACCACCTCCCACTGCAAATGTGTTACCAATGCCCTGTGGGACTGATTTCCATAGCTGGGATGGAGAAACAGGACGCAGACATCAGGAAAGGGAAATTAATGCTGGGAGGGCAGAAAAACTTCCCAAGGGCTTCTGCTTCCAGAGCCTGGAGCTTCGGTTCCACCCCCCAGAAGTGACAAACCCAGGACAGCCAGAGCCTGGAGCAGCTGGGCAGCGCCATGAGGACACCAGGGAGGGACTGTGGGGCTCAGCCCAAACCCAAAAGGGTGTGGAGACTCCAGGACCTCCAACTGGTGACCCAAAGTGCCCTCAGGGGACTTCCCAAACACCTCGGGAGCCTCTGGTGTATCAGAGCCCCCCGAGTGTGGGGATGCTGAGGGGATTGTCTGAGTTCTTTCCTCCCAGCCACGCCAGCTTGTCTCTACCCATGTTACTTTAATTCTTAAGATTTTCTAAAGCCTTCTGAGTTTACATTCTGTTAGAAAACTTTCCCACACAATTTCTATAAACAACACATTGTTTTGCATTCCTTCGTGGGGGTGGAGAGACTTGATGTTCTGGTGGTTTGTGCAGTGTCTTTGGAGAGGTGGCACCTTCACTCTCCAATCCACTGTCACCTTTGGGAAAGTGTAAAAGTTGGAGTCAGAACAATAAATTTTCTTTATTTTTACCTTGCCATCGTAGTGGCTCGTGCTGTGCCTTCTCGTGTCCTACAGCGACATACCCACAGCCCAGCTCTGTAAATAAAAACTGTTCCCAAAATCCCTGCCCCACACCCACGGTATCTCCTGCTTGTGAGAGAGGGCTGGAAACAAACGCCAGTCTGAACCTTTCCTGCTAAAACCTGAGGTTGTTGCTTAGGGGAGAGGAAACCAAATCCCACCTGGCTACAACCTCTTGTAAGGGAGTTGTAGAGAGTGAGCAAGTCCCCTCTGAACGACTCTCTGTGATAAACAACCCGATTTCTGTGCTCCAAAATCACAACATCCGTGGCGCGTTACACTCACGGTGGGAGGAAAACATGGTTCACTCCAAAACCACCTTCCCGGGAAAAAATATCCAGTGAGGATCCTTCAGTGGGGATTCTAAGAGGCTGCTGCAAGGAAGAATCCTGGAATTAAGGTTGGAAAAGAAGAAATCCAATGTTTTTGTGGTGTAGAGAGGAAGCTGGAGCAGGGAATGTCCCTGGAATGAGGTGCTTGGGGTCTGGATTCATTCCCACATCCCACACGCTGCTCCTGCCTTTCTCCTTGCTGAGATCTCTGGAATATTCACTTCCCTCACGAAGGTTTGGAGAGGACTGAGAGTCTGAGCTCTTGAGGAGACACCACTTAATTGCAAACTCTAATTACCCCAATTGAGAATTCTTCTCCTTCCTCTCCACCTGCTGCAGCTGAGTCCCTGCTCTGTTCACACCTCGTGGGGCTGTGATGGACAACGTGAGGAGCAGCTCAAGGAAGAACAGTTTAAATAATTTGTTTTAGACTCAAAAATACTCCCAAAGATGAGATTTTTCCCTGATTTTATCCAATCTGTTCCTGGCCCCCACCAGCACAGCTGCTGGGTGGGTGGGAGACGTGGACTGCAAAGCCTGAGATCAGCAGAACATCAGATTATAAAGAAATTAATAATTAACCAGTTGCACACAAGGCCACAGCAGCCCAGTCTGAATTCAGAGCTCCTCACGCATCACTCTCCCACCTCAAATGGGATTTCCTTGTCCCAAGCAGCTCCTTTTCCCTTTCCCAAAGTCTGGGGAGGGAATGTCCAGCATTCCAGGACCTCCATGTCGCAGTGTCTGAGCAGGAAAACACAGATCTGTGATGCCAGGAACATCCCATCACCATCCCTCATGGAATTCTTCCCCGTCAGGGAAAGGGAGGAACTCCTGCAGTTAATGGCCCATCCTGACATGAGAAAAATCTGGATTATGAATAAAAGGAGGGAAAAAAAACCTCGGAAGATTCCTAACAAGAACTGATGGGTTCAGCTCCTTACATGGATGGTGGGAAGCCTCTGGAGTTTGAAGCTGAGAGTTGGACTGAGTGACTCAGAAAAACATTTCCACACTGCTGGAGCCTTGGAGAACACTGAATTTGGGCCTGGAAAGGAATATTTTAAACACCTCAGGAATGACAATTCTTAAAAACAGCCAGACAAACCACCAGGGCCTTTAAACATCCTTTAATTCTGCAATTTCAAGGTTGACACACAACGCACCTACAGCTCAGAGAGAACCTTTCTCAGCACAGGAAACCCAGCTGGGTCCCCAGTTTTCTTGGCAAATACAAGTGCAGTGGATTCGGATTTTGGAGGCATAAGGAACCTTTTTCCAGATGAATTTAGAGGGTCGAGGCAGGGCAGAATTGGTGCCCCGGGTGTGCCTCAGACCCTGGATTTGGTGCCCTCCTGCCCTTGCTGATCATTGGTGCTGAGCTACACAACCCTGCCTGTCCTTCCAGTGCATCAAAATATCTCTGGAGCTGGGGGAGGACTCAAAGATAATATCCAGGACAAGAGAAGGAAGAGTTTTTGTTCTTTTATATTGGCAATTTTCTCCTGCATCCACCCGGCGCTGCAGGAGCCGGCGCCAGATGGCTCCGGGATAATGAAGGAGGAGAAATGGAAACAAATGGTCCCGTGTTACCTCCCACGTGCAGAACTGGCTGATCACCACCTGAAGGAACAAACAATCACATCTTTTAGCAGCGCAAACAGCGGGAAACTTCACGTGGGTGCAACCTGGAGAGAGCACTAGCAGAGCCGGGCAGGCTCCAAAAAAGATCTCCAAACCATCAGGATCCCACGTGTGATCAACAGGTCTGGGATTGACAGGCAAGGTGCTGATTATTTAGCGTGGTCTGAACTTCCAAGACCCAATTTTCCCTTCTCCCACCCCACAGCTCCCTTTACATCTTAAGTCAAAGCAGCAGCAGCAGAGCAAAGCCGAATATCCCACCCCACGCCCCACCGGGGTTCCTGCTGTGGAATCACTTTTGGGAGAACATTAAGGAAACGTTAACGTGGATACACACCAAAACCACCCCAACCCCAGTTCTCAAATGGCATTTCCCTTCCTCACCACAATGCCCAGGAGATTCCCACTTTTTCTTTGATTGAAACAGAACAAAACCAACAACAAAAAAACCCCAAAAAACGTGGAGGTGCCACCCGCCAGCCGCGGGTGACGCGGGCGGCAGCGGGGGTCACACGGTGGTGATTTTCTTGTCCTTGGTGGCCTGCTTGATGGCAGCCTGCTCGCAGATGATCTCCTTGAGGCGCTGCAGCCTCATGTTCTGCGTGGTTTGGTCGCCCACGCCCGTCTGGCTGCGGTGCAGCAGGTTCAGGGCGTAGATGTACTCCAGCTCCGTGTACTTCACGCCCTGGTCCACCACCAGGTTCAGCAGCTCGTCCGCCGTGTTGTAGAGCATCTCGTAATACTGCCTGCAAAGAGAAAAACAGCCTGGTTTGTCGGAACCCCGGCCTGGGTCACGGGTTCTGTGTGGTGGAAAAGTCTCTCCTCCCACCCGAGCTTCCCAAGAAAGGCTCAGCAGTCTCTGTTGTTGGGTCTCAAGGCAGTTTATTGCAAGTTATCCAAAAGATTTTCTTCTGGGGCTGCTGTGGTTTGCTCACAGCTCAGGCAGAGGCACACACACACCCTGACATCCTCTCTGACCCCGACTGCTTCTTCTCTCCCACCCAGGGCTGCTGCTGTCTTT